CAAATACCTGACGACGTAAGAAGACTACACTATTTGACCACAATATTAAGAACTCTGGAATGTCATAGAAAGATTGCTAAAATCAATGGAAGAGATAAAGAGAATGAGAATTTCCAAAGTAATTTCACAAACTTGATCATCGAATCGATCACACCAGTAAATTTTTCCCAGCTCTGTAAGCTCGACAATATCACCAGTGGGAAGCCAAGCTCCAGATAATTTACCGTTTATAAAACATCGCCTCGAACCACCGATAAGCAGTTCTCCAGTTTCACTAACATTAAATTTCGTGCCCAACAACGGTTCACCAATTTCCACACGAGTTTCTCTAAATGCTAAATTATATCCCCTCAATTGTTCTGCTTTTATTTAAGCCAATTCATGGGCTTACATACTTACTTCCAATCGATTTTATGACAAGAAGCCCAGCAAGATACTTCCGTGACTCCGTATACATTATAGAAATTAATGAATTTATGGTCGATATGGTAACGCTTAATAAAATTTGTTGGAAACGCTTCACCACCCAGAATTATTGTTCGTACAGTTGAATGACCAGCAAAAATCTTTGTTAAAGCTTTATGAGGTAGAATTTTCAGCTGTGATGGTGTAATCTGAAATAAAGCCTAATTTTAAACTCACACTGCCTAGCGCAAGAATGCATGACATATCATAGCATTAAAATTCATAAAATAAATGAAACATTGAAAGCGTAACTTAGCATTCAAGTAATGAAGATATATTCTAAGAATGCTCTACCGCGTACTATAACAGAATCAACGAGGATAATAACAAGAGAAGAAAATGACTGAAACAGCCCTCAATTTCCTTTTTTAACGCAAAGAGGTGTTCAAAGTAAATAAATTTCTGTTCAAAGTAAATAAATTTCGATTGAAACAAGCTATTTTTCATTAACTTCGTTGATAATCGTTTCCATGGACAGAAGTTTGAAAGACAAATTCGAAATAATTTGCAGATTTAATATAATATAAATAATGAAGGAATTAAAAATCTAGCCTGAATAAAGGTTACACCATATTTCAAGATTGCATCAGCTAATTTAGATGGTGTGGAACGAAACGAATCCGGAACAATCAGTAATTTTGCACCATTTACTACAGCCAAAAGAATTTCCACAACAAATGGATCAAATGTTGCTGCCGTAGCAAAAAGAATAACATCGGAAGTTGTGATTTGGAATCGACGACTAAAAAAGAATAATTTGGAGCTGCAGCAAACCTTATCCCGAAATAAAGAACGTTTTAATCTCATAAACTTCAGTGATCAACTAATAACAATTTGTTACAGTGCATACCACTGCGAGAATTATAAAAAATAATTTACTGGTACCAGCAAACGGTTAACTGCTTTTGTCTTAATTTATCCACAACAACAATTATGTAGAATTAAATATTTTTTTGTGCCAAATCATTCTATTAAATATTTTTATTTGTGTACGATGGTTTTAGTGAAGCAGTAAAATTCGTAATGTGATCTAACATCTCAGGCTATAATTCTTTAGTAAGTAGTAATGTAAGAAGAATAGGAGTAGAAAACATCTATGGAATCTGAAATCCTGACCTGAAGTCCCAAATATTAGGCATTATGCAGCTGTATGGAACAAGCACTTCTTTTCTCTCTCCTAACGTACCGGATGTCGTGATCAAATAGCAAAGTTTATCCTTTCCGAAATCATCCAGATAATAATACCCGTTATGATGGAAATAAATTTGTAGACCGTGTATATTTATTGGTAACTGATTGTCTTCTGCGGCGATAGAAGAAATGATACAAGATGTTGTAGTACTACGATAACTGTTTGCCGTTTCAATGCTTGAACAACAAACGAAGCAATTCTTTGTTTCCAGAACTCTGAAAACTTAAAACACCAACATTCTGAAAACTCAATAAATTAATTTAAAGTGGATTATTAAGTACTAAAACAACATCGTGAAAAAAAAGTCTCCTATTTATTCAGCATTTCAATAATATCTACATACATACCTTCAGATTCATTCATAGGTCACCGAAATTAATCTATTCTGGAGTTTACTAAGATACAACAGAAGCTAATCCTTTTTTTCTAAGGGCCAAAACGATGAGAAAATATGCGACAAATGACTGGAAATTGATGATATGGACAACTTCCAGTTAACAAAATATAAAATGAGTCCTGAGTAAAAGAAATGCAAACCCAAGAATAGCAGAAATAAATGCAGGATGCTTAGGAAGAGCTACAGCAATAAGACAGTTCCTGTAAGAAGTCAATTTCTCTGCAATCAGTGACACTCCGTTCATAATATCGGCATATTCCACTGTTATGCCACATGAATTATCCATTTCACCCATATATATCATTGAAAATGTTTTTGCAATTGGTGCCATCGACATTTTTATTCTGCAAAATGTTGAAAAAGAAGTGTACGAAGAAAATCTAAAGAACAATATCTTATCTGTAAAATGACTGTACATTGAACGTTGAAAGCGTCTTATAGAAAGTGTGTAAAAGTCTTATCCATCATCTTATAGAAAGTTAAACGAAATAAGTTCACACCACGCGCTGTACTTGACCATAATTCGTACTGCATTAAATAAGTGCTTGATGTCATAATGATCTATCATTAGGGACACATTATCACAAGCAAATTTAAGTAAATAAAAATGGGAACACATTCCAACTGGAAGATTTAGATAATTGTAATTTGCAATTAGATAATTGTCATTTTATTCCGTAGTATAAAGAAGAAGGTGAAATACACAATATAAATACACGACATTCTATGTTAAAGTGGATTCCTCATATCATTCTATTTCTAATTTTGCATATAAGAGGAAACCTACATTAACAAAGATTACGAACATAAGCTTTGAACACTTTTAACAAAATACATTACCATCAAAAAGTACAATATGCAACATAGTTTAATGTAGCATACATTCATGTTGTACAAATAATGCGTGGAAATCACACGTTAAACAAATTCATCGATCCGAAAGACTGCATAATGATGATTCAACGATTTCTCCTCCTGTATTCTCCAGCACGATTCATATACTCCACCTGAAGGGGTACGTTTTCCGTAAAATACTCGTCCAACACGAAAATGTACTAAAGCCATAGCACACATTGCACATGGCTCATCTGTCAAATATACATCAAATCCTGTACCAAGATATTGCAGTATGTCACCTGAAATACCTGCTATTCTTCATTCGCATAAAAGATTAAAAAAAAAAGAAACGGAAAAAACAATGGGTCATAACGAAGGTTTCCAAGAGCTTAAATTTGTCCAGCTATTCTGCAACTGCAAGTCTCTCACGAGTGGTACTAACCGTATATGAATTTCAAAAATCACATTAAACAATGTGATTCTATCAGCGAAATATGATTCTACTTATGCTAATGTTTATTTGATTCCGATGCAAGGAAATTACTTTGCTTGGTGCGATGTCTTTCGCAAAGATCTGAAACTGCAGCCATGACTGCATGTCCAAGAGGTATATTTCGGTTACCACTTTTTTGCGACAACTTCACCTTTTAAATCCACAATGACACACCCTGATCCACCGTTACTAATCTGAAAAGTTTTTTTTTCGACGAATTCTCCTTTCCAATAAACTATTCTTTGAAGAAAGAAGAGTTCGTTAGAAAAAGAAAGAAACATAGCTTCCTAACTTTTTGAGTTCAAGGTTTTAAAGACCGCAGTGAATGACATTTCAGCTATTACTATTCTAAACATTTAGCAGGAGAAAAAAAAATGTACCATTAATAATTGGAAATCGGCGACATGTATTTCTTTTGAAAATGATTTAACTTGAGGTTGATTAATTTCAAAAAAGAGCTCATCACGGTTGTAAGGATATTCACTACAGATCGCCTTCTGAATTTACTTAACTACCACTTAAATTTAAGCCAATCATCACCAAGCACCGGATGTATATCATTTATTCATTAAACTGTTTTAATAAATCTGTTCATTATTTAGTTAATTGTCACAGGTCTACATGCTCAAACAAATGTTTATATCTTAACCTTTTCCGATTCCAAATAAAAGTCAATAATCTTTTGGTATTCACTAGCTGTGAGAAAGTTCCCATTCAACAGTGCCTCATATTGCTTGTTTAGATGGAAGGCTGTAGGCCAATACTGTTTGGCCCAAAGAAATTGTCGCCTTGTCACTGGCTTACATAAAGGAACTTTCACCTTTGATACAGAAATATCTGGAAGCATAGTGCGAAGCTTCACTATAAATTCCTGAAAAATACACAGGATAACTATTCATAGTCTACATAAATAAACAGTTGAAGATTTAAAATTGCCTTTTTTGAAACCGATAAAAATAATTACAGCAGTCGCAGAAAAATTATTGAAAAAAACAAAGTAGTAACCATACTAATCTATAAATGGGTCGATAAATAGCTTCTGCACAAAAGATATTGACATATGCAGATCTCATTTCCGCTCCTTTCCTCCTTATAACTCAAAGAATAAAATTTTAAATAAGACTTCAAGGAAGATTTTTCATTCATGTGCGAAATATTTATTTACACCAGAACTTATCAGGTGGTGGTTGAACTCCAGACAAATTATGCAAGTGATGCCTGATGACGCCTGCAATCGCTATTGTTTTTTCTTTTAAAAAGAACTTGAAGTCGTGTCAACTATTTAAAGTTGTTAAAATACTTATTTCTAAAATTTTTGTTCAAAATTCCTAAAACAAGTATTCTAACAATTTTAAGTGGATGACCGACTTCAACTTCTTTCGAAAAAAAAAGAGGCAATCAGGGTTCCAAGTATCATCACCTATAAAACTTGCTTAGGGCTTAACCACCACCTGATAAATCCTGATTAAATAAATATTTCTCATATGAATGAAAGCCCCTGCATTTAACAATACCAAGTCTATAGCAAAAGGGAATAATGACCTGCGGTAGTGGATCAGTTGCTGGTTGGATAAGAATCAGCCCATTTTTGATACGCTTTAAATGTTTCGTTTCTGATGGCATGTTCGGCAAAATTTGCAGCACGTATTCGATTTTACACTTATCTTCCACGTATACTGCGTGATACTCAATGAGAGGTAATTCATCGCACACAATTTCTTTTCGCAGTACCGGTGTAATCCTGAACCTTAAATGATACACACAAAGAATTTATCTGTTTTAGAAGAAAAAACAAACAAATGTAAGAAATTTTCAATGTTAGTGTGAAGAAAATGTGTCGTTGACACTTTGTGTTTTGTGGATCAGGATTGTTTTTAAAAAAACTATACAAAAAATCATACGAAAATTTTCGGATTGTGAAAAATTACTTTGTTTCTCTAACATAATTTAGCAGAGACGAATTTAAAAATCTTCCCACGATAACTCCTTCGTTAAGAGATTTACCCTTCATTAGTACAAAGGATTCCAAAATTTTTTTTTCAGGAATAGCTCAAAATTACAAATGATTTAAATCAATAAATTTATGGAATGATCAAATAATATCAAACAAATTAACAACAAGAGTTTGGAGATTAGATTTTTACAGAAGAAACCAACTGACCTTCTTTCTTTCATTTTTTTCTTGACATCTCCCAACTCACCAGCCATACTCCAGTAACCAGAAGAAGTTGGCTCTCTTTCTGTACAGGCCATTTTTACAGAAAATCTGAAAATCGAAATTCAAAATTGAAATTTTACCTCAAAGTACAAATCCAAAATTGAACTGCAATACTTGACAGTTGTTTGATGTGATGTACACCTCTAAACAGAAAGAAGAACTGGAAATAGACCTATGCCACAACTCGAACTATCCGAAAAAGAAACACCTCAGGAACACTATGCACATTTCAAAAATGCTTTCAAATCTGTTATAAAATTTAACGCAGTAAGCATATGCAAACCAATATATCCCACCCATAGGTAGTGACCAGAATTATGCAGGTAGATATTTACTATAATCCAATAAGAATGTGTGATATGGAGAGCCAGAAAGGGAAACAGCAGATGTTGACACAGGCGTGAAATTCAGGAAGAAGATGACAATTATCTGCAGCTTTAGAAGTCTTGGAAAATCTTGAAATTCTCAAACTTCCAAACGAAGGAAATTCCCAGACAGTCTAAAGAGTTGTCTGCTTCTGTCAAATTAATCGAATTCTTCATTCGATTCCTTATACTGTTCGGTAATTCTTCTTCCGCTCATCTTTTTTTGTGGATGCATTTGAAATTTAAGCTTAAGGATTTATCATCTGAAATCAAGGAAGACTAAAGATTACGCTTCCTAATTTGATTTTAGATTTTAGAGTATTTTAGAGATTTTTGAGGTTACAAAATTTCCTATACTATCAAAAAAATTTTTGAATATTTTCTTAGTAATAGTGACAAATAATTGCTTTAAAAATTGCTGATGGAAGGTTTGAAAATTAAAATCTAAATTTCTGTTCCCAAAAAGCTATTGGCAGCCATTTATGCTCCTTATTTTATTTCTATGAAATTATTGATAAACGACGATGTGTTGCAGCCAAGCTAGCCATTTCGGTATATTCCTTAGAACAAATAGGAAAGTAAAGAATTATTAAAGAGATTCTGACTTTTATGACAAGCAACGTTTACGATATCTCCAGGAGGACCTGAAGTTGGTGGACGGTTAGCTAAATTCCGGAATAAATAATACTCCTAATCTAATATCAATATAAACATGCATCCCTAAAATAAAACTAAGTTTCCTGTGAACAAAAACTGATGTCATAAAGTTTACCTGTAATCTTCTGATATCAATAGAAGCAGAATTTATTCTCCCACAATTTATCCTTTGAAACTCTTGTAAAGATTCATCCAAAGGCATTTCACATACAAACATTTACTCTTCAGAAATCTCAAAAGCGCCATCAGTATACAATACGGTGGTGGGTTATATTTGCTTCATCATAATCACATCAAGAGTAGCAAATAACAGTCATCACGCGGCACTGAACTCACTACATTCAATTAGCGCAACATACACGACCCACTTCACTAACAAATCAACTTAACACTAACCATTAATTGATTGGAAGATTGAAACCAGAATATACCATCATCAATTCGTATTTCAACATATGATAAATAATATTTCAACCAAATGAACACAGAATAATCCCCAAAATTTCTATTACAAAAGGCTAAAAATCATCTGTCAGATGGCTCATTTCATAAATAGCTGATATTGTCGGAAAAAGAACCTTAAAATAACTAAAATATTTTTGCAAATATTTTGTACTAATTAAAGTAAACGAATAAAATAAAAATTCATAACATAATGATTGTCTTATTAGAATATTTTATGGATAAATGATTCATCACATAAGAAATAAAATAAATGTTCTCAAGTAATGAATCATTTATTCAACTCGTATAATTCTGTTGTAAACAATATCCGGTGTGATAACCTATTTGTAATTTTCATTATGTTAATGAGTATCCGGTCCAACAACCTAGCTTATAGAGAATAATAAGAATGTTGTACAGATCCTCTAATCTAATAATCATGCTTGTATTCAGTGATTAAATGTCATACATTTCCGCTCAACCAATTCACGATAATTCTTTCTACATGAAAACTAATCTTATATTCAGTGATTGTAAACCAATTCCTGCTATAGAAATACAAAAACCAATTATTTAGGATGTTCAATTCCATATCGACCAAATCCTCTAAAAGCAACGCCGACCGATATTCCCACATACTATTTCTACAATGTCTTCAAAACCAGTCATTATTCATCGACATTTTTTCATTACTTCTATGTATATTATTTGTTGGTATTTTTTTCCTATATAAAAAAAAAGAAAGAAAAAGAAAAATCTCAATTCTAAAAGCCTTCCGCAAAACCATTCGTAGCTGCCAACCAATAGAATAATAAGGATTTCTCCAACGAAAAACGCAATTTCCGCTACAGATATTATCTGAATCTGTCCCCTAAGTTACATATTAAGGTGAAGGTAGTATTAGTAAAGCTGGTACTGACCGTCATTTCAAAAACAGTTAAACCAGGGAACTACTTTAAAATATTAACTTAACCTCTCTACTTCCAGCTCCAAGCCGATCTTCTGCTATAGAACAAAGACTAATAAGGTTATTCCAGATCAAAAATCCACCTTGCTGCAGATCAGGCAAACCTGTCGGAAATGTCAACAAAGAGTGCAAAAAAGGGAGGATTTGTTTCATCAACCTACATATTTACTCAAGCCTGTGCACCGAGATAATCTCAAGGTGTTTTACTGTAAGCTCCATTTAAATAAGTGAAGATGAATTCCATATATATAGCGGATTTTCCTATATATATATTCCTTCAACGATAATTAATGAAAACACAGGGACTAAAAGAACGCAATACAACTTGTACAAACTTTTCCGATATTCGCAAACAAAAGCAATTAATGAAAGCATCCCTCTCCCCCTAAAAAAAGCAGAAACAAGTAAAGTATCAATACAGAAATGACTCAATTCCAGACTGCACAAAAATAAAGTTAAAATACCGGAATGTTTAGAACAGAGAATTTTACGACAAACCAGAACCTAATAAAGTGTAACACCAACCTGACCAGCGAAAAAATAGCAAATAATGAACCTTCGTTTGAACAACAATGAATGTTGAAAGGCAAATGATAAAAAAGCAAATGAGGAATACTTACATCTCAATGACACCAGAAACATGGCACCAAAGAATCAATTATCACTTATAGCAGTTTGCGAGGTTAATCGACTAAATATAGTAGGATAGTATAACAGGAATAGGATAATAAATAGCAATAGGATAATGACTAAAGCATTTAAACAATGAACAAGTCCAGAGAGAACAATAAGATGATATGCATCTCACAAAATTTTTAGGAAACTAACAAAAAAGAACAGAATTCGAAAGGTGAACCTCCCTAACTTTCCCTCCTATCTTCGCATATCATATTGTAAATGTAGAGACATTTAAAATTCAACATATAGAAAATCAATTCCTACTATCAAAATATATTATAGAAAGAGTCTTTTTTGTTAAAATTAAACAGTAAACGGGTATAAATGGAACAAGAATCTTTAACATACTCTTGCATTACGTACTCGAAGAAAACCATGTAGTAGAAGACCCAAGCGTTACACTACCTACGATCCATCCATTCATTCTTCTACTTCTCAAGATCATCTATCCAATGTAACAAAGCTGTTGGAAGAGGTGTAAATTCCTTTACACAATTCAACACCAAATCAATATCTACCTGGAAAAAAATCTTTTTTTACAGGAGAAATCAATCGAATTCCCTTTTCAAATCTATTATTTAAATTTCACTAAATCATACTAATCGCCATACGAAACTTATCAAATAACAATTGCTATGATGCGGAAAAACTTTTCGTAACATAACCACCTCAATAATGGCCATATTCTTGATAGTGCATGTCTTACCAGATGCTTATAGCAGAAATGTTTACCTGCAGAGATGTCCGCCTGAACAATAACTGTCCGCATTGATCTCTTTCTTCCAACACGGTCAGACTGCACAATGTATCTAGTTCCTTCAGCAGTATCAAATCGTCTTTTACATTCAGCGTTGGCAGATATTTGTTGACCAGTTTGCGGTAATCTGAAATCGAACTCAAATAAAATTAAGTCACTTTTCAAAAGCAAATAAAAGATAAAATTAACCTCATCCTCAGTCGCTAAAGTAAGTTTTAATTACGAAATCACATTCTGAGGTAAGCTTGTTCACCTATGATCTATTAACTCACTAAAATTTCGTCAGAAACCATCTAGCAAACATGTTTTTCCTATGCTCAAAAATGCACCAACTACCTGATTTGAAACAACAACTGGAAACGAAAACATAAAAATATAAAAACTGAAGACGATAATACAAAAAAGTTAAACCTAGAGCTTAACTGAAAAAGGAAACTAAGGTTAGTAATCTAGGTTGAGCTGAGATCTCAAAAAACAAAGCGACTCCTATTTTCGGCAAATAATTTTGCTCTAAGCATTATGAACCGAGAATAATTTCACGAAATGTGAAATCCTGTCGTCGCTGACAATGCACCAAACGAACGGAGCATAATAAAAGACACAGTTGTCGCAATGTCAAACCTGAAGTAGTGTAGACGATAACGTCAAAGATATCACACATTACTCAGAATTTTGAGAAGTTTCCGATATGGCGGAGACCATGATCAGAGTTTGAGTATTTTATAGTAAATTTTCAGAAAGATAGAAAACAGCAAGTATAACATAGTGATAAATTTTGAGAAATTTACTCGGAAATAGTAATTTTAGTTACTTCAGTAGTCCATAGATAACCCTATCCAAACATTATATGCACAAACCGTATTAAGTCAGGAAAGCCAGCTAAATCCAGCTAAGGAAATGCTTCATATTTATAATATAAAAAAATTTTGAAGCTGTCGATAACTTAACAGCTCTCACTTAAAATGATTGATTTCATCGTATCTTCATTAGCAATGATAGCATTTTTTGCTTCAATAAATATTCGCGAAGCGTGAGGACTTGCTAGACTTTCGATATGCTCTGCGTCCATAAAACACAGAAAAGTAGCAGTGATCTGTTTTAGAATGCAATAACTCCGTGTTTCATCGTATATTTGACGCAGTTTACGCTCTACACACTCATTAGCAATGAATGCCTGTAATCATTATTTTACAAAATTATCAATTGCAGAATTTAATGAAACAATTTCGCAGTCATTTTTCTTAATCCTTTTCTTTTGATTTCAACAGTTAACAAAGAAAATAATATCCTATTCTCTCCTGTTTTTAGCTTCCATCTCCTACTTACCTTTGTTGAGTCATCGAAACTGTTATATATTTCAAATATGTTAGTTTTACAATTTTTGAAGCCGTAGGTTTCTTCCATAAGATAAGAACGCTTTGTCTGCCTCCCTTCCAACGGTAAAACGAACTTAATCAATAGAAAATAGTACTTTATGATTTAAATAAGATAAGTTAGTACATACCTGAATAAGATTATTATTCTGTTGGTATTCTTTTACGTTAGTATGTAGAAACGTGGCAAATGCCTTTGTAAAATCATCAAATGATATAGATGACTGCGCAAACGATATGAACACATTGGAAAGACGTGAACGCACACGCTTCTCCAATAATTCGGTACAGTCCTAAAATTTAACTTTTCAAACTAGGAATTTCTCAGACTATTTCCAATTCTACAATTTTCAAAAAAAAAAAAGAATCGATAAAACAACCAATTGCTCAAATTAATATATAGAAACTGTTTTAGAATGTTTTGTGATAATTTTATATAATTTTTCTGTAATTCAGGTCTTTAACATGAAAAATTAACAGATTCATTTGATAAGTCGAACTAACTACATTTATCTGTAATTTGTGAGGTTTACCTGATGAGAGCTAACACAGAGCACAAAAACAGGTCCAGAACGTGATGCATTCAGAAGTGTATAAAGGAGAGTTTGTCGTCCTCGCGTTACATACTGATCAAAGTTGAACACGATAACAAACTGTAGTTGCCCCTATAACAGAAAAAAAAAAGTAAAACATTTCAAACAGTCAATGTATATCCTACCATATGCCACAGTCATGATAAGTTCTTCTGACAGTAAAATATATAAACAGTTACGTCAAAAATCCTAATGGCAGAAGCACTGCATATGATCATCAAAATGTTTGGAAATTATATTATCGTCTTTAATGAAAGTTAATAAAGAAAAACATTTTGACAAAAAATCGAAAAGCAATACCGAATTGGATTCAGATGTGCTGCATATTTTTAATGCATCAGTATCATTTTTTAGAATCAATCCATCAATAAAAACTATTTCCATATCATCCGCATAATCCATTACAACCTGATAAAAAGGTAAGCGAGCTGGAAGAAAAAAATGATGTCTTCAGGAAACAAATTTTTCTCCGCCCTCAGTAGACACTCATGATGGAAAAAACAACTTATCTCTGTTTTTGTCCTTAAAGAAGTAAAACCTATTGCGTGTAATCAAAACTTTTCAAAGAAAAAAGGAAAAAAAATAACAAGAAGCACGCAACAGGAAGGGAAGAACTATGACAGAAAGGTGAAATCTCTTCGGCAAATCACTTATTGATCTCGACATCATTCTCATTTGTCGAAAAAGTAAAAAAGTTAGTAACAAACAACAGCGAACCTTTGATATAACTGAACGTTTGCCAGATGATTTGGGTCCGATAACAACTGCCGAACTACCCTTTCTGCTTTTCACGAATTGTTTAACGATCTCATGCAATTTCCTAAAATGGAAAACTAGTGGGATCTAGAATGTCATTTACACACGAAAATTTTAATTCCATCCATTTTAGCATATTTCCAATTTTGGTGGGAAGGTTTTTTCTGTTAACGTTTTTTTTTTTTTTTGAATACTAGGATAAGACATCTCCGGCGAGATTACAATAAAAAAACCAAGTTCAATAAAATATCTCGCCCTTTTTTTTTGCTTAACATCTCTACAAAGCTTACGAAAAACTGAAAACAGGTAGAGATGATTCAGCAACGTTGTTCACCAAGGTGAAACCCAGTTAACTTATATTTCAGAGTAATTTTCTGAAAAGGATTTCAAATTTACCAGCATAAGGATGAATTTTAACAATCACTTTTCAAAGTATAATACCTGATACACTGATCCAAACCGGTAAATTTGTCATCAAGTTCAGCAAGCAAATGGTTAAATACTGATTCAACGACCATTATAACCCGACCAATTTAATCTGATAATACGGATGCCAAAGATTACTAATATAATGCTTCATGAATATTTCAATAGATTTTTCGTACTCGTACTTTCTTTATTATTCATAAACAAACACCGCACTATCACACTCTTCAAACCATTTCGCAAGATATTACTTAACGCATTCATTACAGTCAAGCACATCAGAAAGTGTGGGTGTAATATATTTGTTCGTCTCTGAGACGCTAACGTATGTGACTTCATTTAAATCTTGCGTAACTTTGAAAAATTGTATTGCATACAAAAGGAAGATCAAAATGAATAGCTGTTTATATGATCGTCAAATATGAAACAAACTCATCCAAGTAATATAAGCTGACCATAAGTACGTCTTTTATATGCAAAGAGCGAACTCAAGTACACACATTTGGAAATAAAAACGTTTATTTGCAAAAAAAAGTGATTCGAGAAGCAAATACTACCGTAATGTATGGATATCATTATTTGACGACAGTAATGGAAAGATTTTAGATGGAAAAGGGAAAATGAATATAAGAAATCAAAAGCAAAAACAATAGCTTCAAGCTCGACTATAAATTGAACAAGCATATAAAATCTGAAAAAATTTAAACTTCAGGAAAAAAATGATTTTACTAATGGTATTATAAATTAAACCACTTATAAATAATTGTACTGAATTCCAGTGCATGAGAATTAAAAAAAAAGACAGAGAAAAATGAGAAACTAGTCGAAACAACACCATTAATGAAAATATTCGGATACATTAATAACATTTTCAGAATGAAACCATAACTTGTTGCTGTTCTTCTACCATAGCTAGTGGAATATTTGGAAAAAACAAAAAACCGTATCCGAATCAGCTTCTTCTCTTCTTCCAAATGGCTTCTCTATTACTTTCATAAATGGTAATTTTGTTCATATATATGCAAAAACAACTGTTAAGTTATCAGTTATTGGAGAACAGAAAGTTTTCTAATGCTAAGAATTTAAAATTAAAATAAATTTATAAATGAAAAATGAAAAAGAATGATCAATTAAGGATTCGTTTTATTTCTTCTGGCAAGTAAAGAATTTACTGTAAAAAGACGCATTAATAAAAGTACTACATTACGAATCTATCGTCATTATTAAGGAATGATAAAAAAATGATAATAGTAATGACTGATAATGATGCTGACAACAGTAACTACAGCAGAAAAAACCACAATAATATAATGAAAAAAAAAAACATGAAAACAGATTATATTGATCGCACAGAAGCCATATACATATAAACCGATAAATGATAACCGAGCTGGAAAGTACAACTATACAAAAGCATAACAAACAATTAACATAAATAATTAAAACCAAAAATTATCAAATCGAAAAAGTTCGACAGCAAAAAAGTAATGACAAGAGTAATGAATGGTAAAGTAAATGATAAAAGCTAAGAGCATGCAAGAAAAGGAAATAGAAAACACAACATGGCAAGAGAATGTCGAATAAACATGCGGGAAAATTCAAGATAAATGGAAAAAAAAGTAATCACCGCCTTTTTTTAAAATTTTATAAAATATATTTATCTTTCCAGGAAAGGAAAGGAAATGAAAAACAGGAAAACCAAGGAAATAATCGGCAAAAAAATCTGCCGAATTGAAAAGACAAATCCAAAAAAATGTATGGAAATCTTTTCAAGATCGAAACCGGATAGTGAAATGTTATATGTAGAAAAAAGAATTAAAATACTAACAGTACCTACAACAAGGGATAGCAAAGGAGTACAAAATTATTTTTACGAATACAGTGAACTGCTTTTAGCTTACAATTAGAAAAGTCTATTAAAGTCTATCAACTCGGAAGGCTTTTCAAACAGAAATGTCTAGAGATTAACAACACAAGCCTCGTCTTCCAAGAAATGTATGTCATATACGACGAGTACAGGTGATTTCGGAGAGCGATTCCCAGATAGAGAATCTATCCCAAAAAACGTATCAGACACGCAGATATCCCAAAGAACGGCAAATAGCTAAGCAGCTTTTTTCTTGCTGAAGATATGAGGCACTGTTACACAAAATTGCATAACCTGGGTATTCATTACTGGTTTATAATATATTTGAAAAGAAAAAGTATTACGTGTTTTACCTTGAAGATAAAAAGAAGAGCTGGAAGCATGCATGCAAATTTCCAATAAAAAAGAGAAAAACGAAATAGGAGCAATCAGTGCAAGAAGGAAAGATACTGAAGATAAGAAATATTATAAAAATATAATTTTTTGGTCTTAAAGGGATTTTTGAGGGAAAAAAATAAATTGAATATAAGAGAAATTTAAGACAATCTAGTAAGCCATGGCCATTACAAAGCAGTAAAAATACCATAATAATGTTTATAATCTATGGCTCAATTTCTCAACGTGAAATTTAAAAATCTGAAGCCAAAACAAGCGAAATATCTAGAAATTCGAAAATGAACCGAATAACTTGGAAAAATTAAAACAGAACAAAAGGTTTCGGAAAATAAAAGTGAATAAATGTGCTAAAAATGAGGATAGACAATACGGTAAGTGCAATCAAGTTCAAAATCAAATTCAAATTCTTACACCAGACAATATCAATTTGCTCATATAAAAACATGCACTTTTTCTTGGGGAGGACAACGAGAATAGTAATAAATAACTATTCGTTAA